GCCTTCACGTGATACACAGTGAAATTATTTCTTTGCTCTGCTGTGTAGGAGATTCAAGCTTCAAATTCAAAGACACAAGATGATCCGAGGAGGATGCTAAAATAATCTACGATGAAATTCGAAAACAGAATTGAGCATGAGCGGGCTTCGAAGAACTGAATCAACATGAGGATAAGGGGTGCGCTATGTTTGACTGATCCCCTCCCTTCAGAGAGGAGATAGAAGATGTCAGTGGATCCTGACGTTGATTTATCCAATGGAATCGACTCTCAGGAAGGTAAATCGATTAAAGGATGGGTCGGAAGGAGGCCATAAGTCTCATGATGATAACGACGATTATGAAACTGATGATTAACAGTCAGGGCGATGGTTGTGCATGGTACCGAAGATGGCAACGATGATGAAGATGATGGTGGTGGTGGTGGTGATGATGATGGTGGTGGTGGTGGTGGTGGTGGTGGTGGTGGCGATGATGAAGATGATGATAATGACGATGATGATGATGATGACAATGATGATGACAATGATGATAATAATGATGATTATGATGATGATGATTCATGTGGGCACATTACAACGGGTGCATAGTGCCCGCCCCCCCCCCCCCGAAAAGGGAGAAGGAAAATGAAAGTGAGGCCCCCTTGCATTACATCCATCTGACAAGAGTGCATTACCCAATGGCACCGGAGCATTCCTAACTACTAAACCTGACTGGTGGATTTATGGTGATGGTGTGTGGGTGTACGTGGGTATGTGGGGTCCAAACTAGTTTGTGTACCCTTTTAAAGCCCGACCGTGCATATATCCTAAGTGCACGATAAAAACAAAATGTGCCCCTTGCAAATCTTAGCCCTAAAAGGAGGAAGTAGAGGCAATGATTGATTGAGATGGAGAAAATAGATTAAGATAACAAAGAATAGCGCATCCTCTCATTGGTAGCAGTTTGAGCATTACAAATGATATGAAAGATTCAATATCAAACGGCATGAAAAATGAATCACTGAACTTGCTAATATTCACCGTGTTCATGAACACAGGTTCATTGACCCTCTTATTTCCGACACATGCAGGATGATGATGTAACGTCTGTAACCTCTGCCACATGCTTCGCTTTCTGTGTTGAATTTCTGTCAGGAAGGGTGGTTCTAAATTCCCCCAATTAAGCACATCGTGAAACACCACCGTCAAAGATGTGCTTTCAATAATAATAATAGTACTAATGTTCCGATTCTGCGCTTCTGAATTAGCTACGGTAACCGTATAGCGCTCAGAGAATTCAAGGAATTGTTATTCCTACCAGGTGCCCACTTCCTACGCATGGGTTGAGCACAGCAAATGTAAATTAATGTCCTGCCGGAATTGCAAGTGCTGCGGCTGGGATTCGATCCCACTACCATGTGAATCACAGTCCATAGACTTATCCACTAAACCACAACATGTACAAGATGTACATTAGAATATGAGTGCATGTCATCCTTGTTAACCTAAATATAATTTCGTGATTTTGAGTAGTCAAAGATAAATAACTGACTCATTTCGTTGAGATGCAATAAATTAACACTACCATTGTCACACTAATCTTTTTTGCCCTCTGAAATGGAAATTTAGATGATTATTAAATTCAAATATTTACGCAACAATCGGGAATAGTTATGAAAAACTATTAATCAAAACTACATTTTCGTTGATCTTATACACTAAATATGGAAATACAGCTAACATGTTTAAGAAGATATATTAGGTGTAAGGAAAGCACATCAAGTACAGCTTCAGACAAAAGAATAACTGAGACGGCCAGACAGTTACTGAGACGTCTGTGCGACGCTCAAAAGATAAGGTAAGGAGCTGAATATTGTATCAGTTGTCACCACTTAAAATCCCTTTGTATATGAGACCTTAATATTCTACGGTCATCGCCATTTTCCATGTCTAGAAGCAACATTAGTCACAGAAGGGATGTCCCAATTAAACTTCTGTCTGGAACAATATTCGTTTTTTCTTTTACCTTGATGCATTAAACCGAACTTTTCTCTCCGTTTGTGCTACCTTGCTAATGAAAGCATGACAGATCGAGACCAAATATGAAGAGTTTCTTGCTCCCCCTTGGGTCCTCATTTAACACCCTGATGTTATCGCATCGTCTCTTCATCTCTCATCACCTTCCTCATGTTTGCATAGATCCAACTGAAGGTCAAGACATATTATCCTGGCCACCGAGAACTTGGAGATTTAGTCGGCTCAGTTTCTCTCTCCCTTCGCTGTCATTATCCAAACCTTTACCCTACCTTCTCTCTATAAACAGTATATACCCCTATAACACTCTTTCCCTTGGTTTGGTATGTATCTGCCCTCCCCCTTTCTCTCTCTCTCTCTCTCTCTCTCTCCCTCTTTCTCCTTCTCTCTCATCTTTTCTCTTCCTCATTCTCCCAAATCTCTTCTTCTATCGTTCTATGAATTTTTCCCAATCTCCTGTCTACCCCTCTTTAACCCTTTTTATTAAATCTCTCACCCTCTCTTTATCTACTTTCTCTCTCTTTCTCTCTCTTTCTCTCTCTTTCTCTCTCCATCTCCCTCTCTATGTTTGTTAGACTATACAGGATTTAAAGAGATGGTATATCAACACTAAAAGAAACGACACATCAGCAGACAATATACCTCAAGTCAAAAACAAAGCTTTTATTCTGATTTTTCAACTGGTAAAATGCCACCAACAACAATCAAGATATCATAAAATTATTAAAGTTAAACCATTTGAAATCTTAACTACAATAATTTTCTCAATATTATTTGTTATTATCTCCACGTTTTCTATCTATCTCTTATAATCTATTTTCTATATAGTTTGTAATCATTAAAAGACGTATAAATAACAAAAATTTCATATTCAGTTTCCGTCTCCATCCACGTTTTACTACCCCTTCCCCATTCTCCCCTTCACGTAATAGGCCTCGTTGTGCACACACGGTCTTCTCTCTTCTTCTTTCGGTCTTTCCACCTCTGCTTTTCATTCACATTTCATGTTTATCGCAACTCCCATCTTCCTTCCTTCCCCCTTCGTCCCTCATGTATAAAAATATATTCATCACAGTCTAGGGTGTAAAATAAAATCACATCCTGGATACATGCTTATAATTTTAGCAACAGCTTATGATGTCTCTTTTTGAAAGCATAATCGCTTTTGTTGGTACATGTCACAAAAGGGGATTTAAAAACAAAAAAAAAAAAAAAAAAAAAAAAAAAAACGAAATTGCTGTTTTAGAAGTCAACAGAATTGTAAGTCAGAAGTTAAAACTCTATAGCAGGACATTACGTATATAATAAAGAACCAGTTTTATGTATATATGTGAAACATGATGTATTTTGAATTTTGTTTATGAAGTTGGAAATAATGCCACACTCCCGCAGATCATATTTCAAGAGCCTTACTGTACGTGCGTTGGTCATTGTTTCCATAAGCCTAAACCTAGTTCTATATCATTAATCCTTTTGATTAATTATAATCCCCTTCTGTCTTGTTTCATCTAGAAGGAATCATGCCAAATATAACAGTCATGTTGTGTCTCCAAATCATGGACATATCCGAAATGGGTGCAAAGCACTTTAAAAGGAGGAAGTCATTAATGTATCAAATTATTGCGCTGACAAATAAAAGCGAAGAAGACGGACGGGATTCAACAGCTTTTATTGGAATTGGATGCATTGGTAAGAAATAGAACAGATCCCCAGCTTATCTTTGTCCTTCCTCTAAGCCTACAAGACGATTTGATGAGTCAAACGGTTGGTGTCACCTGATTATGTTATGCATTGTAAATCATTAATGCACTTCCCTAAAAGTGTCGGATAGGTGGTGGAGGGGGGGGGGGGGGCGGGGGTGCAAGTGCACTGGTTAAACTATACATTTTTAAATTGGGCCGAAAATTTCGCAACAACTCAGCCAGCCGCTGAATAAGCGGGGGGGGGGGGGGGGGGGGGGGGTAAGAGGACACTTACAAAAAAAAAAAAAAAAAAATCCAAGGGGGGGGGTTTACCCCCAACCCCCCCCCCCCCCTGTATACGCGCCTGATACCGTATAGTAAACGTTGAAAAGGAAAAAAAAACGATCACATTATTTCTTTTTCGGGGTGACTCCCCCTTCCCCCCAAAAAGGCAAAAAACAACAAAAGAACAACAGACCAACAAGCAGAACAAACGTATTCGACAGCCTATTAATTATGTACCCAAGAGGATTAATTTACACCCCAAATGACGGTCATTTTTGCTTCTATGTTTGATTGTAGGATTTTTGAGGGGGGGGGGGGGGGGTCACCCCGAAAAAGAAATAATGTGATCATCGCTTTTATTTTTTCCTTGTCCGAGAAAACTCAGACTTATGCCCCGCCCACCCCTCCCCCCCCCCCTTCCTCCCATGGCCTAGAATCCCGGATATGCCACTGTCTTATCGTTATGTTGATTCATCCTCATCATACACTAACTCTTGAACATCAAGAAAAATCGTAATCTCCTTTTAAAATGCCAGGTACTCGAGTTAACTCGACTGACAGGTGACATGTCATATGTCTTTGTTGTATCTTTTCAAAGATTTCTTTTCTCTGTTATATCTTCTTTTTCTTTTTTCCCCTTTAAAAATTTTTTTTTTTTATAGAACTTGATTTCTTAGCAACAGGTATATCTAAAGTGGATAGTTTGAAATTGTGTGTGAAATTCCGTGTATGCGTGTCGTTTCGCTTTACGCATGCACGGTTGCGTGCGTTCCATGCAGGAGTTTAGACATCTGGCGAAACGAATAGCGGGGGAGGGAAAAAAAAAAAAGTACTAGTTCATAGAAGAGTCAGACTCATACCCACCCGCAAACTTTATGAGCTGTGAATCCAAGATCTACGCTGAAGTCTTGCATTGGGGATTGTGTGTCCCTATTTCATTGTTGTAATAAGGACAGTTGACTAATGATGCTCTAATTTGGCGATTTGAAGAACCGTCATATTTTATTGGCACCGTGTGGATTAACTTTTAGAACTGATTACTGACATTTTTTGGCAATCAAAGACTAGGATAATCAAATTAGATTGAGGATGGAGTCAGCTTTTGCATTTCTGTGTTTGTTAACAATTGTTTTGGCTGCGGATCCAGGTCCACTGAGTAGTGATGTAGATGTATGGATAGATCCAGTTCAAGCTAGAGAGCTCTTGTGTAAGTATGGTTTAATTTCTTTCTGTTTGTCGTCTTTCAGATCAAGAACATAAAAGCTATTCATAAATTTAGATATAATGTACAATTATGTTTGAGTTCTCGGTAAGAATAAGCCAAGAAGCATCACCAATAACATCCAAGTTATAATTGACAATGTCATGCAGGAGTGATATTGACGAAGAAGACGAAAAAGAATTGAAAATGATTCATTACCTAATTATATTGATAAGGTATATATATCCGCTATATAAAGCATTCCGATATTTGTCCATTTCTTTCTGGAATTTTTTTTTTTCGACGAATCATTATTTTTTCATTTTTCTATCTACGGGCTGTTCACAAAACGTTAACCTACCCTTCTTTCAGATGTCAATTAAAAAAGAAGAAGTAGAATATTGATCCTTAAGAGCTTAAATTCCGGAAACATTTCAAAAATCATCTCCTGTCATAAATCATTTTATTTATTCACTACATAACAATAGAATAAAATCCCAGGGAATCCAAGATAATCTCTCAGATCACACGAATAAGAGTAATGTGTTACCTTCAATGCATACAAACGACCGCATACAGAGAGGGTGATACTTCAATGTTTTGTTATTTCAGAAAAATAAGGAATTGTACCATGACCATAATGATCTAGTTTTCTTCTCAGTGATACAATACCCTGTCGTGAACAGTTACCATTCAGGTTAAAATCTTTTCGTTCATGATAAATTTTTATTCAACCATAGGAAACAGATTTCGTTCAATGGAAATATCTAAATCATTTATTCTTTACAGTAAAGAAAAAAGCGTTCTAAAGCCCTGCTCAAAAAGGTGCTCAATCAAATGATATTAATTACAATCGAATTATTTAATACGAAGCATAAATGTATTTCCTTCATGTTACTATGCTAAAGGCTTTGTTCAACGCCTAGAAACCACGACAGCTATTACTACTGCTGCTCTGTTGCAATAACAACAACAACAACTACTTCTACTACTACTCCTACTACTATACTACTACTACTACTACTAATACTACTACTACTACTACTACTACTACTACTACTACTACTACTACTACTACTTCCAATATCAGTTCTACTACTACCACTATGTTTGATTTTGATCTCCTTATATCGTATCTCTGTTATTTGTTTTACTACTGAGGCTACTGTTATAATTATATCCATTTTGTTGGCTAATTATTATATACATGTATTTGCTAACATTTTATCCAATCAAAACTGTTCTCACTTGAAATGGCCAAGCCCCATTATTTTACATACAGCGGCAACATTATGATTACAAGTGATTTTGGAAAAATTATCTCATCTTTTTGTATTGATAATTTTAATGAATTATTGAGCTGTGCTAAACCAAAATGTCGTGATATCACAAGTGGGAACAAACACATTTCATGCTATATGCGAGGTCGGAGCAAGGAGTTGAGAGGGACAATAGTGAAGTTTTTCTCACCTTTTGGTTTTCGAACAAGAAGTTCAAATACCGGCTTGATATCATTATACTAAGTTATAAACGAAATTCATTACGGTCAGTGCCTGTAATGCTTAGTGTAATTACTTTGGAAGGGATACTTTTTCAGAATCTGGAATAGGATACGCGAATTCATAATGCAAGTTGGTAACTGTTATACCAAATTGGTTTAGTATCATAATAGACTCTTATTTTCGTATCAGGCATACTAAGTATTGTTATGATAGGACGGGAAATATAGGACCGAATACAAACATATCGACTTAAAAATTGGTAATTCAACATGAATTCCTTTCTGAACTTAGTCTGAACGTGATCAAAATTAAACCTAAGATGTGTGACAAACAGCAAACGCGTTTGTTAGTTAAAAATAGGTCAGAAATTTGAGCAGATAAAAGGGATTATGCTGTCATAATTCAACAATAAATAACTGTCCAAGAATGAATGAACTTGATTTAGAAAGGATTAACATTTCGAAATGCCAGGCGTCCAGGACAATTTCCACTGACCCATTTTGTAAGTCTGTGGAACTTTACCTCATTGAAGTACCTGGTCATATTGCATGATGGCGATACGGTGAAGGGGTTGTACACATCAAGTAAGTGAAGAGCAACGAACAGTTTTTAGGCAGCAATGGGGACATCACCTTGAGTCATTCACGGCAGGATAGCGTTCTAAGCTAAGCCTCTTGTTACCCCCCCCCCCCCCTCCAGTCACACCGCAAGACCATGCAGACCGACAAACAGACTGCACAAAATGCATTACCACAAAATAATGTCCAAGATTCGGTCGGTTTGCGGTCGATTTGGCAGTGTGAGTGACTGTATTACAACACCCCATTAATTTCAATGAGACCGACACAGGACCGACAACAGTAAAAGCTCGTATACAGCCGGAAATCGGTCGGATTGAAGTTGGTCTAGCGGTGTGACTTGGGTATAAGAAACCAAATTTATGCCAGATTAATTTCTACTGTTTGACACTGACAATCATTTTCCTTCGCTATTGTTCTTTCCATTGATACTACATAGCTGGAGCGAAGCCACGGGATATTAAACACCACATGAACCGCATCACATGGTCATAATCGAATTATCTCACGATCTAGAATATTTTCTTCTTCTAAATCATTGGATAGGATCACTGCATATATATTGTGTCAACTTGTGATTCCGATTGTGATTTTGTATCTATTGTCAATTTTGATGATATTATAAGAGATGTGAAGGAGATACGATAGTATATAGGCATGGTGTTTGTTTAAAGGTGACAGTCAGTAAAAACAGATTTAAAAAAAAAAATGTTGTTATATAGATGAGTTTCAGATGATAAAGCGATGTAAAAACGGCAAACTGAAATCGAACATATCGAAAAGAGGAAAAGTTCATAAATATCCCTTTTACGGTGCACTTTGATTAAAAAAAAACTTATAATCTGTTAACTTAGAAAGAAGGACAAAAACTAACATGATATTACCTTTGTTTTTCCATCACGTGCTTTACAGACTTGTTCAAAATGTTGCAGGTGTGGAAATGCATATGTGATCATTTACTACAAAGACATTCTCCAACTTTCAACTTTTCTTTCATAAAATGTCATGAAAACGATCTGCAGAGTTTAGTTAATCATTAATCATTTTAGTATTGCTTTTAGCCAACCCTCAATTTCGTATCAAAAGAGAATCTTCGAATAGCGAAGTTTATCTAGTATACATGTAGGTTCATGATTTTTGAAATATAAACTATACATATTATTAAAAAAATTCGAGGGTAAATTCACCTGACTCTACTATACAGTGTTTTGCTTGCTCTGTTGCACCATTAACCAATTAGAAATCAAAGCATTGATATCGGAATTTCTCTCAGGAATTCCTTCGATTCGCCTACTTTCTAAATTTTGTTTACTGATTTGGTCTGCCAATCAAGTGAATCATTGTTTACTCTTTAATAGGCATGCAGGCACAGGTGATGGGACGTAAGAGGGATTTAACGGTTTGAACTAAACCCCCCCCCCCCCCCCCCCCCAAAAAAAAAAAAAAATAAATAAATAAAAAAAAATACCAAGGTATTAGGTATAATGATAGCATCCCAATTCTGTCTATAATCAGCCCCCCCCCCCTCCCCTGAAACCACATTTTTTTGTAATTGTCCTGGCATAAACGTCATAGGAGAGCATAGAGGGTGGATGAGACTTGGAGTGGTAAACAAAAACGTATTTTATCTCATTTGTTACCATTAAGATTCAAACATACAGCTAGAGATTCAAGATTACGATATGTTAGTATAGAATAAGAATATTAATTAATTCGCTTCACTTCATTTTCTAATCCATGCTATTCAAGCGTAGACTTAACCATTAGACCTCTCTCAGAAAGTAGCTTCGATGGAGGGGAGGGGTGGGTGTGCAGGGAGTAGGGTGGGGCAGGAGCAGTTCCTTCTATTCGTGAAGGAGTCGTAGCATAATTATGCTTACAGTGGATAGGCTAGTGGTCCCTCCCTTCATTTCAAAGACAGCTCGATGACCTTGCTCAACTATAATTTCTTCAATCTGTTCATTGTTATAGTTCCTTTGGACTACTTTCATTAATCCACGTGTGTGTACGTTTTTTCATAGTTCCTTTAATCTGTTTATTTCCCCGGTATTTTGTTTTGATCCTCAGGTCGCGGCGCCACGTTGGATATCGTACGAGGAGGTGAAGCCCAACCAATCATCCAGAAACTTCGTAACAAGCTCACCGTCATCCCGCCTGATATCAATACTGTCAATATCACATGGAGGGCTGCACCTGGGGTGAGGTCCTTTCCTTCGATTGTATCCATATTCATGCATCTTCTTTTTGTATTCCTTTATATCCCTTCATCTTTCTTCTTCTTCCCCAGTCTTTCCTTATCTTCCTCTATCTTTTGTCGGCGACGTGAATGTATGTGACCCGTGTCACGTTTTCACCGCATCTCATTTTAATGTCACCAAGAACTTTTTTCTTTTCGCTCTCCATGATTTCTTTGATAATGTGCGATGCACCTGTTCTTTTCCCTACTTCTCTCTTCCACAACCTGCTTATGAATGTGACTATGACCCGTTTCATGTTTACACTGCATGACACTTGAATGTCATCATCAGACCAAGAAGTTACTAACTTCTTGATCAGACACGCGGTTCTTCGATTTTTCCTTTTCTTCCCTGCAATGCACCTCTTGTTTCCCTCATACACTCTCTTTACCACAATCCAACATTTTAAACAATTATGAATAGTATTGTGGTATTAAGTTCAGTCAATTTGAGTGAGTTCAGCTTCTTTCGATCGATCAACCCTCTAGCTTTTTCTTCAAAGAAACTTGGATTCATTTCTGTTTTACCCACAATTATCATTACTTCAAACAATTTGGATGTGTGTGTGGGTGTGGGTGTGTTGGGGGGGGGGGCAACATTGTTCTTCTATAGTCCCCCTCTTTTATGACCGATGCTTGAGAGGCAATTTCATATTGTCAATCGTGAAAGGCTAATCGTGGTACAAATCAAAGGTCATCACACAATAGTGTAATGAAACGAAAGCATATCAGACATTTCTGTCAAATATAGTCGGGTCACCTCTTGATATAAAGTACATGGTAGCTGAAATACAATGACTTCCATTACTTTAGTATTATTATAAGAAAAAACATTGGAACATTCAAGCGTTGGAGGTAATTAAATTTCCTCTAATATTTGTAAGTTTTAAAGGTAATCAATTAAAGCATAGCAGACATTACTGTCACAGATAGTCTGGTCATCTCCTGATTTAAAGGAATTGCTGTCTGAAATATATATGACTTCCATTACTTTAATAAGTACAAGAATAACCATTGGAACTTCCAAATTTTAGAGGTAAAATACTCTGTCTAGTGTCTTTATTAGAAAATTTTACGAGGTACAAATTCGATTTTAGTTCCCTTGTTATAGGCCTAAATGACTATCTATTTTAACTCCAAAATGATTAGGGGTAACACGATATAAGGTCACCCCTCAAAGGGTGTCTTGCCGATAATCACCGTCATTACGAGCGCATATATCCCCAAACCCAAAACAACAATTGGTTATAGAGCACGGGGAGGGCAATATACTTTTTGATAATGGTAGTAATTGGTTTGATACGATTCGAGCACCAAATCATCGGGTTAAAACCCTGAACACTCCCCGCTGATTCCATCAGTATAAATTGACTCACACCTCACTTCAAATATCACTTATACCGCCCAGACACCAGGTGTATCTCATGCCATTGTGAAGCGAGAGATCTACCGAGACACTTGGCAAATATAATGTTTGATTTGCACATCAAATTGTTCAGTCATTAATGATGGACTCTTTACGCCCACTTACCTCCTCCTTTGGGCTAACATCACTTATTGAACAATCGCTCTAATATTCCCTCTCTACTCCCCCTCGATCTTTGTATCATTTTAGGAGTTCGACTTTGGCTTAGCCTTGGAACTGCAGTTTTGTTAGGATTTGTGCTTTTTTGCTTATTATATTTTGTAACCTGAATGAATATATCATAGGTTCAGTTTATAACTGAATACAAAATGAAAGAAAAGTTACATGTCTATATTCATAATACTTGAAACCTGTGTAATTTAAAAAGTGCGGGTATAAAATCTGAATATACTCCTTTTCAACGACAACGTCACAACGAACAAAAATGAAGAGGCGGCGGGGGGGGGGGGGTGATGGAAGATTTCTGAAAAACGTACCTTAATGTGGAAAGTAAGGCATCAAATACACCTTTATTTTCAAAACTCAACTCCACGATAATATTATAGCGTTTCCATCGAACTGTCGATTGTATTCAACACCTTTAACCCGCAAGAACTCCGTCAAAGTTGGCACCCTGAGTTGTATCGGTGATGTTTATTTTGCTATTGTGACGATTTTTTTTATTCAACGCTACCATACCCTCTGGCGGGATAAGAATTAATACAATAATTTATCATTGGAGTATTATCGGATGGAGCCTTTTGCCGCCGAGTTATGAAATGAAACAAATTGTGTTTATAGTCATCAAATTGCGGTAACAGAACTGTGCATTGTGAGTTGGTTATAATGAGGAAAGAGGGTCCCGATATGTTGATATTCTGGTTGCATTTTTCATCTTGAATGATAAAATCAAAATATTGTGGCTTCTTTATAATCCTATTCAGGTGCAGTTTTAATAATATTATTCACACTTAACAGGAAAAGTGAAAATACGTGCCGTTTATTATCATTTGATGCGTGAACAGAGACAGGATTAAATTTCATAGAAATCAGAAAAGACGGAAATGTTATAATGAATCATTGTTATTAGGTGAATTACAAGCCACTGAACGACATCTGAAATATAGTACATGACGTTGTAAAATCTTGTCTGTATTAAGTATACTATGAGCCTATAGTACAATGGTGGGTTCTATTTTTAATTCCTATTTAATTCATAAAATGTACAGAAGTATACTAAATAACAGGCACTAAATAAATATGATGACCTCAAGTTGTATAAAGATTATTCAACACAGACTAATAAGTTGAAACTATGACCCATCACCCCACAAAACAAAACAAAATATAACAAGCGATAATTTTCTAACTTCTAACTTGAAACCTCGATATTAGGAATGGCCCTGTGGTTGGCTGCCTAGTGTACCCTCAGTTTGAGACCGTGTTGCGTCTTCTTGATGATGACTTCGAAGGTCGGCTCCAAAAATTATTGAAATTGTTATAAGTCTTTAAAAAATAAAGCTTGCTTACTAAATGCTCTCATATGCATTACAGCGTTTGGCCCCGATTATAATTATGGACGCCATAAACATTAGTAATCATTATTTCAAACAGACATAATATAGTGCACTTCAACTCCAACAATCCAAACAAATTTATTTCTGAATGGCCAGTCACGTTATCGTTTAGTCTTTTTCCAATCATTTCGATTTGTCAGAAAGCAAAGAAAGGGTGTCTGTGACTCTGTGTCATTAATACACCTGCCATATTTCATTTCAGCTTTACTGCTGCTTATTGGTAGCGATTTAGAAGTAAAGTGAATAAATGGTTGCCTTCCGGCATTTTTAACACGGTCAATGCTCTGGAAACGAATCTGTATCGCATTAAGGGACAGGGGTGGATATTGGGGGTATTGTAGTCATGAAAGATCTTTCAAAATGTTTTTTTTCCCCTGATCAAATGAGAATGATAATGTCGTTCAGGTAGCAGTCATGACAGACTTGTAATGTCAAGATTTAGTATGTGGAGGTAATAAACAAATTGTAAAATTGTCCATGAAATATAAAGGAAATTCAACGTTTCAGAGAAAGAGATTTATTAAGGTTTGATCGGACACATCGACATGGTTCAGGGCAAAATAATTATGAGAGGGATTGGAAGAAGTGGGTGGAGGATAATCTTATTCTAAGTTTGTGATATAGTTTGCTCTTTGACTGGACAGCTGCTCAATCTCCTTAGCCCCAGTTAGACCACACTGTCTCTCAGTGCTATTATTAGTTTCGGAGAGGAAAGTAATGAGATCCTAAATACATAAAGCAGTTGTGTTCATCAAGTTTATATTCGTGACTATATTTGATTACCTTTTATCAACTGGTTTTAAACTCATACTCTTGACGGACCATCTGTTGATATTCTTCAAAACTCGCCGAGAAGTTTCGATGAAGTCATTTACACCTGTTCTGAGAGTATATAGAGCACAGTGATACCATAGACATAACTTATGATGATACTATTCTTTACAATGCAAAGGTTTTGTTTTCAAGATTAAATTTTGGTTAAGGAGGGGGGGGGGGGGTGGGGCTTTTACATGGCCGATGCAAACGGTGAATAATAGTGAGCCCCTACATGGATCCCTATATGGATATTTATCCATCTATCTGTCTAAGTATCTTCTCCCAGTTCGGAGGTTGATTGCATTTTCTCTCCATTTCACTCTATCTTCTGCCATTCTGGTGCACTCATGCCGTTTTAGTCCACTCCAATTCTTGACATTCTCTTCCCAGTTGATTCTGGTTCTCCCTCTCGGTCTAGTGCCTTCCACTATCCCCTCCAACGCATCCTTTAAAGGCCCACTGCACTACTGGTAGCTACTTGCGCCCTCTATATAACAAACAATGCATAATCGGTGACCATTGGTGCCCCATGATCCTCTTTTTCTTATGTTAACTGAGAGCTGAGTTGATGAGATAACCACCTGTCCAGTGACCTTGCAGAGCGGTCTAATCCCTCCTGGAAACTACGGCAGATAAGCTTTAAGAGGCTTTGGTGCCTTTTAACATGACCAAAGTATTTGACTTTTCTCTCCTTACCTAACCCTACCAGTGCAATTTGTTTACGCCCTGCTATGTGCAATATCTCTTTGTTGGTTTTCATTTGTTTCCAGGATATTTTCATCATCCTTCTGTAAATCCACATTTATTTTCCACAGCCTTGCTTATTGTCCATGTTTCTGTTACATACAATGGGACAGACCATACATAACAGCTTACTAATTTCACCTTTCTATCAGTGAATAAGTTTTTTATTGCCAGAAATGTATTCTGAGCAATTTCTATTCTTCTTTTTATTTCTGCTTCGCATCTGGCATCATCTGTGATATTTTGTCCTAAGTAGATGTAATTACTGACCTGCTCAATTATATGTCCATCGAGTTTCAAACAGATTCTAGGCTTATTCTCTGTTCTACTAAAGTGGATAACTGATTTTGCTATTTAGGGTGTTCTATTATACCCCATGAGGAGAGACTAAATGAATGGATGAATGAATGAATGAATGAATTACGGAAGGAATGAATGAATAATTGAATAAATGAATAAATAAATGAACTAGTCAATAAATCAATTAAATAATAACGTGTATCATTGAGTTAGAATCCAAGATGAGGGTAGAAGTTAAGTACAGCTGTACTCAAAACAGTATAAAAGTTGGGTCTTCTTTTGAATTTCACTAGTTTGTGATCCGTTGTGTAATGACGAATTTAGTATTGGCCTATTCGAAATGGATAACTAGTTTTTTTAAATATATATATAAAAGTAACTAGACACTGTCTTCAAGAGGAAACGACTTAACAGACTAGAATAGTTAAACATTCCACAAATCGATCAATCTTCTGAACATTAGATTGTACAAATATTCGACCGTGGGACCAATTTCTATAAAATTCACATTTTGAGTTGTCAAGGAAAAAATATAAAAATACCACATAATATACAAACAGTCTATAATGGTTCGCAGATGGTTTAACAGCGCACGCAAACGAGCCACCCGTTGATATGGGGTTGGAATTATTCAAATATTGAACTAGAAATGTCAACTCAAACAGACAGATGTTTATTGGATAATAGCATACCAGTTTTGAAATAATGCTGGTGTGGGAGAGTTAGAGATAGAGAGAAACTGAGAGAGACAGAGAGAGACAGAGAGAGACAGAGAGAGAGAGACATACAGAGAGAGAGAGAGAGAGAGAGAGAGAGAGAGAGAGAGGGGGGATGGGGGGGGGGGGGGTGGGTGGGAGAAAATGAGGGAGGGAGAGCTCATTAAATGTTCTGCGGTATTACTTCGGAGTATTCATTAGTAACTTTGAATTATGATAAAGTCTTTTGTTTGCCAGCAGGGACACCGTCCCTCTTGCAAGTTTTATAAGTATACGTAGGCTACACTAGAGAATAAAACATATTATTACATTAGTCTATGGAGACTCAACTAATTACACGTTATGAAACGATGGATTGTTTAACTGTATACTTTATTAATACAAGTCAACTTCTCCAACATGTTATCATAGTTAACACCGACACCAATTAATTTGATTTAATTTGCCTGCACCATGTACATGTTCACTCAAACACGTTCAGTTGAAGTAAAATTACAGATATCATATACGATGCGTATTACAGGTGTACATTTATGATCTTAAAATCGTTCATTGACGTTAAATGATAATGCGTAAAATTTATTATTTTCTAGACGATTACTCATTACAGTTTCTTCATTTTCTCTTCCACTTCTTTATAGTTTCATTATGCCATCCACGCAAGAACAGCAAACACCAGGCTCATGGAGAACCTTGCTATCACAATACCGCCCTCTGGAACTATACCAACCTCTGAAAGTGGTAAGTGCTTTCGAAAAATCGACGGGCAATTTCAATACAACATTGTATATCCCATAGAAATCATGTTTGGATCACATAATACTGAATTGTAATGTTTGCACACTTCAAAAGGTGATTGACAGGGCGTATCCGGACACCTACCCCCTGGACATCCACCCCCGGATAACCACCTCCAGTCAATTACCCCCTAGGACAACTACCCCCTAGGACAACTAGCCCCCTAGGGCAAGCACCCTCTAGGTCGACTACCCCCAGGACAACTACCCCCGGACAACTAGCCCCCAGACAACTACCCCCTAGGATAGTTGTCCTATAGGATGGTTGTCGTATGGGGTAGTTTATTGGGGGTAGATGTCCGGGGGTAGTTGTCCAGGGTAGTTGTCCTAGGGGTAGTTGACTGGGGGTGGCTATCCGGGGGTGGATGTCCAGGGGGTAGGTGTCCTAGAACCGGACAGGGCTATTGATATTGCATTAAGTTGATTTTTAAAAGTAGTTGCGATCATCGTGGTAGTAATAAAGTAAAATATTATAGAGGGTGGGGTTGTAATGTATTTTGATCGTATATCAGATGGGATTCATGGAGGGGCACTATCGAAGCATAATGTCATGATGGTTAAGAATTTAGAATGATGACGCGTGAGAGCACTATGGACGTTATAGTGAACTTGTGGGGCAGGGCCCGGGGGTAGGGATGTTTAATTTCCCGATATCGGCTATAGAATCACCTCATAATAATAGGGGCTTCAAGATAGTCTAATATTACTGTAATGAAGCCTCATGAGTGATTTACTTTTAAAACAACATGATAGGAGAAATAAAATTATTGATAAACCCAAGTTTAGCAACGAAACACGTTTTTAATTAATGCTACAGATTGATATAAAATGCTCAACGATATGGTAAGAAACAATATATTTATATTATTTATATTTGTTTTTTTTTGGGGGGGGGGGCGGGGTCTTATAGGCCATTAAATTAGTATGGAAGAAATAATTCAAGCTGATTAATAGCAAATCACTGAATAGATATATAATTGTCCTTTTTCCCTTTTCTGATCAGTTTTTCAGGTGGAGCTACGATGCACGGGAAGACAAACTGGTATTGCTTCAGGTCGGTTTGTCTTGAAGATATGGGATGAAACCAAACGTCTCATCCCAGGATCGCCACTTAGGATTCCATTCCAGAAGCAGTGCTGGAAAAAGGGTAAGACAAATTATTGATCACTGCCATTAAGATATCTCAAAAGATCAGAAAAGTTCAACCAGTAAGGTAAAACGCCATGTCTTTTACTGTTTGAAAATTCCCTTTGAAAGGCCATCAAGCGTTTTATTTTATTGCTTTTTATTTTGTTGCACAATAATCTAGATTGCGGGGAAAAAACTATGTCAAATACACAACTTTTGTCACATAAGTATAGCTAATCTGAATAAGAAAAATGATGCAACCAACCTCTGCGGTATGAGAGGGGTGGTTCACAAAAGGAGATCTGTTTCAAACCCAAGTGGTCACCAAGTTTAGGCTCTGGTAATGCAGAGGAAAATTGAGTACATTTATTGTTCCTCTTCAAAGAGTTTTTTCTGTTGCTCCGACATTTACTTCGGCGACAATATTGCTACGGCTTTATTTCATCAAAAAGTATAGGGTTAGGGTAATAGTTGCAGGTGTTAGAATAAGGTTAGAGTTAGGGCTGGGTTCATTGTTGAAGTTATGCATTTTGTTTAAAGTAGGAATTATCGGTTTTCGTTTTTCTTTTCAGTCAAGCCGTGTCATCCTCCGTGTGGTAACGGTGCTGTGTGTGCTGATGATGGCGTCTGTGAGTGTCCAGAAGGCTACTATGGAACCAGCTGCAAACATGGTAATACCACACCACCACGATCTCAAACACGATGTATTGACATCGTACTGTCAAGCTCCTGTAGTATCGTGATTAGCACTTGACATACACATACATCTTGAGCAGGCCTTGCTTGTTAGCGGTCGCCTAAATTTTGCTTTACAGCAAGTTGACAAATTTGGACCACGCCCTGTTTCAGGCATTCAGCATGATGTAATATGAGGTTTTGGTTTTGAGGAATATTTTCTAGCATTGCTGTATTGTTTTAATAATATAATGTGTATATTATAGACAAACACACGGTCAGAATATTATATCACTTGAAACTGGATGATGTCAATTAAACTTAATCTAGATATTGAAATTCTCTTTTTTTTGCGACCAGTGAAAATTACGCCCTGTTTAGAAAAAGTTTTACGCTCATTACGGATGTTCAGATATTGGATTTAAGATAGCTTCGAATGTATCATGATCAGGGGGGTGTTTCACAAAGATCCTAAGTTGAACTTATCTCTAAGTTGGACTTAAAAATTATGGAAAGCCATTAGCATCTTTGAAAATATTTTGTAAAAGTTATTTTGAAAGGCATTAATTGTTTATTCAAATCATTCATATTTTCTATCATCAAGGAGATTTCATGTTCTGGATGTGGAATTTATAAAAAGTCTAAAATACTTGAATTTCTGCTTTTGAATATATTTCATTTTAAGACTCCAATGGCTGTCCATAATTTTTAAGTCCAACTTAGAGTTAAGTTCTACTTAGGATCTTTGTGAAACACCCCCCAGGTATGAATGACGTATGATCATGACGTATAGTAAATTAATATGATTATTCTTACGTTCATCAATATCCACTTCTGTCTTTCTTTAGCTATATGCATCCCACATTGTTTTAATGGTGGATCGTGTATTGAGCCCAGTGTGTGTCAATGTCAAGATGGATTCACAGGAAACCGATGCCAAACAGGTATGGATACAGTTCTTTCGTTCTTTTTTACTCATATAATGTAAATAAATTATACGATAAACATTCAACATTTCATTATCTTAGATTGATTCCAAACTTTTGAGCAATGAGCTGCAAGTATTACACACCATGAGTTTATATGGCAACCTGTAATTTCAACTTTGACTAAATGATGATTGAGTATTAAATGATGATAAATAAAATAAGGATATATGCCTTCTCTCTCTCTCTCTCTCTCTCTCTCGTCATTTTCCAATCCATTCTTCTGTTTTGCAAATTATTTGGACATAAATAGGAATTTTTCAAAAAAGAAAACAAAATACATGTGTGTGTTAAGTGCTTACAAAATATTACTGTACAAGTGAAGATTACGGTTTATCAGCCCAGAATTGATACATGACCCACTAAGAGTAAAACAAACAAAAATCGGCCTTCAAATAGGATCAGTGTGATGGGCGTAACAGCATAATCTATATTATGTTCCAGCTTCGTGCCTGGATAACTGTTCTGACAACGGCCAATGTGTGGCGCCAGATACATGTGTATGTCGGTATGGATGGACCGGACCAACTTGTGCCATTAGTAAGTACATATAAGAAGAAGAAAAAATCAATGTTACTTCAACAAGGAATTGTGTTGTTTTAAAAGCGCCTTAAAGTATCATGTGGCATCATATTTCGTATTATGATAAGCGGCTGGTCTAGGGATGACATAGCCCCACCCCCCTCTACCCGCCTACACCCTCATCCTTGTGGAATTTTGTTATGTTTTATTCTGGTTTTTGCAGATCCTTGAGCCCCCTAAAACAGGCCTGAATCCTCCATTAATCGTCTACATAATTATCCATCCGCTTTTAACACTCATTTTTCACTGTCTATAATTAAACATCTAAATATATTTTAAGCAGAATCGTCCCAACCTGTTTTATTTAAAGATGTCTTTCCTTTTTTCATCTCTCACTCTCTCTTTCTCTTCAGGGCAGCTCGGAGTTGATGGTATCTAGAAGAATCAAGATTCAAGCGTAAAAGAACAAGCGAGATTTTAACAACATGTACATGTTTCTTAATGTTAACATTAATGTGTATTCATCTTGATTCAAAATCAACAAGACGAAGTCTTCCATTCTTTTAGTTGTAAAACATTCTTTTTCTTTAATTGTCAATTCAGGCTGGCGTATGTGTTTTTATAATTCATTTAGCATGAATGTATTTTATAGCATTGTCTTGATGATCGATAAGTGCACGTTTTTATTTCAAATTCGAATTACCCATGTTTGTTATGACTGCAGTATGAAACTGCTAATGAAAATAGAAAGGCGTATATGCCATCTATATAAAGATAGAGCCGTATATAATTATATAGTGTTAAACTTCCAAATGCATTTCATTTTATTCAAATTACTGTATACACGATTATACATGTAGTTTAATAAGAAAAGTGCACGTCAAGATCTTTACATACGGGGTTATGTCCTCAATAATTTTATATATTTTTCAGAGCCTATATCATATCTAACTTTAAAATAAATAATTTTGGGGTTACCTACTAGTATATATATTCCCTCTTTTACTGAGGCGTCTGGTTTAGTTATAGGATCCTATACTAAACTTTTTACGATTGCTTAATATCATATTAAAGTAAAGCATATTTCGACACATCACCATGCACGACATGTGTGAAAACACAATTCTTATTGTTGTTTATGCTAGCAAATTCAGCAAGTTCATTGAAGTGTGTTTATTATATTTATATAAAGCAATGTTGTAAATATTAAGCGCGACATTTTTTCGACCGCATTTTTGTTTTGACAAAAAAGATACTTGTTGATTAATTAATTATTCAATATTGTCATCTCTTTGCTGTGTTCCTTTTTGGAATATATTCTTTATACTCTAAAAGCATAACTTAGCTGTAATATGTTAAGACTTTGACGGTGGGTTGAATGGTGACCAATTATTTTTTAACTTATTTTTCGCATAGAGCATTTGATTTTTTCCAAGTTATGGGCTTTCTATAAAAACATTGTAAGTATACTTTAGTTTTGTTTGATTAAAGATGGTGTTGTAGCGTTAGTCGTGTCTTTGGGATGGGGTATGACTATATTGTTGGTGGACTTACTGCGAGAGAGCGAGGCGACCGAGGATGGGAGGGTTCAGGGTATGGAGAATCAATCTTCTTCTCATTGTCATTTTTTAACAAGTTTCATCTATATAGGGATTGACATTCGCATTTGTCTATTCGGTGTAAATAATCAACATGATAATTTTAAATAGAGATCACAATATGCTCATTTTTTCTTCTTTCTATTTCACACAGTGTATAGAGATTAGGTGATCCCGCAATGTTAAATCAAGTATTTTGTGTCATAATTTATCTTACAATATTTTACAATGTTTTTGTTTGTAACGTTAATGTGAAATTTAACTCGAGCGTATGCAAAAGTTTATGAATAGCTGTATTAAATACAATATGTAATTTTTAATAATCTTGCTTTTTACGTGAAATTTGTAATTGTGACTCGAGGGCAATTCAAGATCATAAGTCTATCTCACTATCAGAAAGTAGCGTGATATAAATAAGGCTATATCGATGGGTAGAGTGTGTCATTCACCTCCTAATCTCCTTATGATAAATCTCATTATCAGACAATGATATTGCTTACAATCGCCTAACCAGTACGTGCTACAATTTGGTTCTGTAGTATAGCGTTTATGTTTCAATGTGAAAACTTCATGTGTTTTGGCAAATTTCTTGGCACTAAGACTCTCCTCTTTTCTCTGTCAAGCTTCATGTACTCCATTTGTCATAATATTTGTTATGCATCATGATTTATGACATTATTATTTTATGTTGGTACGTGTGGTATGTATTGCGTGAGAAAGAGAGGGAGAGAAAGGGAGGGAGAGAGAGAGAAAGGGAGGGAGAGGGGGAGAGAGAGGGGAGAGAGAGAGAGAGAGAGAGAGAGGTGGAGAGAGGAGAGAGAGAGAGAGAGAGGTGGGGGAGGGAGAGAGAGGGGGAGAGAGGGAGGGATAGATGGGGAGGGAGAGACAGGGAGAGAGAGAGAGAGAGAGGTGGGGAGGGAGAGAGAGGGGAGAGATGGGGAGGTAAGTAAGGGGGAGACAAACAAAATAAGGGAGATAGGGGATAGGAGAGAAATGGAAATGGGGATAATGGGCGGGGAGATAAGAGGGAGAGAGAGAGAGAGAGAGAGAGAGAGAGAGAGAGAGAGCGTGCGACAGAGAAGGTGGATTATTTTTAAATTTATGATATTATTTTTTAACAATTTTGATGCAATGTAAGCCCGGAATACCCTAATTCAGATTCAAAACTCAGTGAACAAAACACACAGCATTCTATACATCATTCCAATAAACACAAAGCGGGTATAAGCTGACTGCAGAAATGTCACGGAAGAATAGAATCGTGGTATTTTCCTGGCGATGATTCAACCCTTGGTGAATTTGTTCTCTTTCAAAAAGTTTGTTTGTTCCGAATTTGTAGAGCTAAAGCGAACCCCAGAACTGTCTATTGTTGGAAATGATTGTGCCATTTTGTGTATTTATTCCAAGGCTTGCACATTTTGTTACGACCTCGGATTTACGAATCAAAGCATCACAGCCTGCGCTTTGGCGAGAGGAAATGCTGTAAGTAAATCCGACAAAAATGTACATGACTTGTACTCTGCCAAAAAAGATATTCACTGATGTTCTTTGATTAAAATATTTCCTTGAAGGGATTTGCAGTGATATGATCAGAATTATGGACATGAACGGAATCATATTTTGAGGTGGTCAGAAAGATGCTTGGTCATAGCATGTGCTGGAAGAATCATAGAGAAAACGTGGTAAGTTGTCATTCAGACATGTCCAAAGTAGATATAAACTCAGATCATAGAATCCGTGGTATGTAAAATTAAAAACATGTGTTCATTATCTTATTGCATTCACTGTTCTTTATAGTGCTTTGATATTTAAGGTAAGCCTACACACCATAAAGCTACAAAGTTATAATCTACACTCTGTGCATGCTCAACAGATTTTTGAACCTCAACAGATTTAAAACCGGGTACTTTAAATGGATTGATCTATGAGCGATATAACCAAATGATATAAACGCTGTTTATACAGTGTATACAATTAGTTATAATTATGATAATATTGGATGACGTTTTTCCAAGACTATATAATAAAATTATGATAATAATGATTTGGGCCGAAAAAGTGTTGATTTGCCATATTTGCCTTTTTATCAACTCACAAACATTATTCTTATCATGATTATCATAGAAAGTAATGGCAATAAAGGGGTGTAGGTTTCAGTTTTGAGAGTTATGGTGGACTTTACTATCGTTCTTTAAGTTGCTTTATCAAACCGTTTGTCATATATCATTAATTGACTACATTATAGTTTATGTTATATACTGTATACTGTATTGACATGCAAATAAAAACATTTTACCGCAGTGCAGTTCCACATTCATGAACTTTTCTTATGCAATATTTATAACAAAACATTTGTCGGTCGTTAATTATATGATTATATTAATTTGTTCATTTTATGCTTTTCTTCATCGTTATATCCACATGTAATTTGGATGATGAAGTGAAAAGAGTCAGCGGTTTATTTAACATCGTTTGAATGAAAAGGATTTCAACAGATTAAATCGGACAGAAAAATATCAAAGAGGCCGTGGCTGAAATACGATTTGCCATAGTCTCGTTAAGATGCTTAACACTATTTCGAAAGCCATACTTACGTGACTAAAAGATCAAAATAATGATGAAGAAGAAGAAGAAGAAGAAGGGGGAAAAGAGTTGGGTCATTTACACCAGATCTTTCGACTTTCGAGATTGATGATTAAAAGCCATTGACTACTTGACAATCACTAGTCAGAATTCGTTAGAATTTCAAACTCAAATAATTGCACAAAGCTAATCAATAGAATGTTTTTATCTTTTGTTAGTTTATATTCTATTTTAGAAGGGGAACACTTAAGTAATGAGGGACAAGTTTGATTAGGAGATACCTGTATTATTATCTCAGCCTTAACATATGTCATTTTGCTCTCTTACAAACTAGTTCATGAAGGATTTGTACCTAGCATAGCTAAGATGTCAACTGTGAGAGAGATTCCGGCAGAGTAAAGGGGGCTTGCTGATAAAATGGAGAGTCGAAAGCCTTTCGTAGGGTCACATGCCAAATCGGTGCTTCTATCCCTCAATGAACTTAGGATTAAGGGGCAACTTTGTGACGTCACTTTGACCGTAGATGGAAGTTTGTTCGTCGCCCATCGCGCCATTTTGGCGGCCTGTAGTGACTACTTCTGTGCAATGTTCACCAATCAGGTAAAAGTTAATGCATTCTATTATCCTTCATGTTTCATCGTTCTCATCATCATCATCATAATCCTCATCCGCTTTCATCAGCATCATCATCATCATCATCATCATCTGATTCATCATCTGATTCATCATCATCATCATCATCACCTCCATCACCTCCATCATCATCATCATCATCACCATCATCACCATCATCATCATCATCATCATCTGATTCATCATCATCACCATCTAATTCATCATCACCATAATTACAATCATCAGTATCATCATCATCATCATCATCATCATCATCATCATTATCATCATCATTATCATCATCATCATCATCACCATCATCATTATGAATTCTTAAAGCTTTAAAGATCATTACACTAATTGGCAGTTCGATGATTTCGTCTTCTTAGCTATATTTTCTGATCATTGAATTTTGAACTACATTTTTCGTTTAATTTGTAATAATATTTCATGGAATGCAAGCTCCTAGTACGTGTATTGACTTAAAATGACAGTACAAAGTATAATAGAATTTCATAAGATCAATGGTAGGTCTCTATATGGTTGTTATTTGTACAAATTTTCTTTTTATTTCGTCACAACAAATGTGCTCGGATGCGTGGGAAAATCTGGCTAAACTTTTGTGATTGATGAGTTCGTGAACAATAATTCACAACTCACTACTATTAGGACAACAATCCATTGGGATATTTTGCACGGTCTATTAACCCAACGACACTGTTGTGCAAAATTGAACTGTTTAGTTCTCTAGGATATTTTGGTTCTTTAGGATTTTTGGTACTACATGTAGATACAAAATCCACAGATAGTGAATTTTATACCATTTATACGTATTATGAAGTCGTTCATTAATGAATTTCTTCTCTCTGCTGTTTCTTTTTCTGTATACACTACTGTAAAATGCATTCAGCATTCAGCATTCAGCATTGCAAATTCGAAAGTATTTTCTCCCAATGTAGTATACCAGAACAAAAAGTTTATACAATTTCCATTCATGCGTATATTGTTTGAATAAATGATATTATATGTAAACCAATAAATTCGAATTCAAAGCAAAAATAATCATCGTTCATTGTAAATCATGGCACATCATTAAGTTGAATTTACAAAATGTCAAATCGGCAAATGTAGTTTATACACCGCGAGATTACTATAAACACCATGTAAACCCTTATATACGATGAAATTAATTTCATAAAATGTCGAGAAGCCCACTAACAAAAATGAATTAAGACTTTTATTTGAAGAAGAAGAAGAAGAAGAAAAAACCCATAATCTGTTTCCCTTCTGTATTCCTTGAAGATGAGCGAAAGCATTCAATCGGTTGTGGAGCTCCGTGGTCTGAAGGCGGCGACCATGGAGGTCTTACTCGAGTTCATATACACCGAGCAGGTCGAAGTCACCGTCGAGAACGTGCAGGAACTTCTACCTGCCGCTTGTCTTCTCCAATTGAAAGGTCATTATAACAAAGCCTTTTTATATTCTGCTTGACGTGACACATAATGTTACCAAGTATTATAAATTGAATTATGGAATTATGAACATTATGATATAAAATATCGTTTTATCCGATGCTTTGCCAGATCAATTCAAGCTTTAGTAAAACTATCAGATTTACTGGCGCCTTAGATTTGGACAAAATAACTTTGATTTGCACTTGTTCAAATATAAAGAATTATAATACAGTCCTCTTTTTCCACTACGCAATCTAGCGTTCATGGGTTTTTGATATTACCCAGGCTTTATCAGCTCCAATAGGTGCTCATAGCATGAAGGAATACTCATTTACCAATTAACTACACCTGAGTCGAGAGTGACAAATGTAAATTGGTGTGTTGTTGCCAAGGAACTTGAGTACCGGGTCGGGATTCGAACCCCGAATTTCTGGATAGAATGAAAGTCAAAGGAATGAACCATTGATATGGCGAGACTCTTCTTAATGACTCGTCTACATCTTCTCAAATGATTGACGGGCATCATTGATATTATGAGAATCGTTAGACCAATGTGTTAAGATATTGAAAGATAAAAAAAATAGTTGTGTTAAGTTATTTTTTCAAACTGAATAACAAATATTTTTCCCAGGACTAACTCATAGCTTACAAAAGGAAAGAATCTGCCATGATTGTTACAAACAACGCTGTCAAAAGCCATCAAATTCATGAATAATGAACATAGGTTATGGTTGAGCAGGCATGCCCCACAAACATGGGCGATTTGGAGTAAATATGTTTACCAAGCGAAAATTCACTGCTAGGCATTTCTCGTGATCCAACTTTGGTTACGGTCTAAAGATTTGATTGATTGGGTATTTGTAATACCAGTTGTAAACAACTTTTTGTTTCAGAATGAAAATTTCAATATTGACACTTTTGCAACTGGCTTAGATGCAGTCAATTTAAGTTCATCTGTAATATTATTGAAGAGGTTTCGTTTTTGAAGCTAGAACATTACCCTATCCCATCTTGCCGCGACTTTCCGTGACATATTACAATAATACATGATTTCACAAATCAATAATTACTTACATCGATTAAGGTAATACTAAAATACAAATATTATTTTATTCTTAATGAGTCGTTTTATTTAATTCAGAATAAATCATACTTTGCATACGATTTTAAATATTTTAATGATACTGACCTTCACATCATAAATGAAATTCTTTAATGGAGTCATGTGAAATAATTGGAAATAGCCTTGTGCGTCACCTATTGAAAAGTACAACAAAATGGAAATGATACGTGTTCCGAACCTGAGTTCCATAATCAATACAATAAAGTATTTTTACTGCTCTTATGATGAATTTTTGAAAGTCTTATGATCGCAAATCGTTTTGCAATATGTAGGTGTGGAGATGAGATGCAGTGAGTTCCTGAAAGAGCAGCTCGATTCCTCAAACTGCCTTGGAATAAAACGATTTGCTGAGACTCACTCTACGGCAGGACTACTTGCAGCAGCGGAGTCCTACTGCCTCACACATTTCTCTGAGATTACAAAGGAAGATGAGTTTCTAGACTTGACGCCAGACGAGTTTAGTCAGCTTATATGCAGGGACAATTTAGAGGTTAGTTTGGTAATTGACACTTTTTGGAAGTCTTAATTATTTAGTTTGAAATATCTTCTACGCGTCCATCTCGGAAAATTATCACTGTGCAAAAGTTGGTAGCCATTTGATAGCCACTCGATAAATATAAATATTGTACGAGGCTGGTATTTACAAGGTAAGTTAACTTTCAGAACAATCAATGATTAATGTTTTGAGTTAATGAAACCTTTGCATTTCCTTGTTGCCGTCTTTGCATCTTCTATTCTTCTGAAGAATCGGACTTGAAGAACTTAAAAACTGTTACGTGTAGTTTGCGTCAATAACGAAGTAGAATCAATTGAATCTATGGAAGTTTTTCTCTCACGTTTCAACAATTTATGTATATCTCCCTAGATGAGCGATGAGAGTGAAGTATACGAGGCTGTAATCCGTTGGGTAAAACACAATAAAGATGAGAGAAATGACCAACTATTTTCTGTCCTTGAACATGTTCGTCTTCCATTGCTCAGTCCTGTCTTCATCACCGATGTCGTCGATACACAGGTGAGGTCATAGACCACGATATGCGATGTTGAAAGTAATCTCACTCAAATAGTCTCATTGCTGATTGCTATCTCCAAAAGTCATCTGTGGTATATAACAATATAAGAAACACTGATACCTGTTGCAAGTTGAGTGAAATGATCAAAGTCTGATGATCTTGACACAATAATAATAGAATCAGAAAAGTCATGGGATAACTAATCTCTTGACGTTAAATTAAAATGAATTGATTCACTTAAAATTTCACCTCATTCTAGATCAACTTAAGTTGACCTGAAAAATACAAGGGAGTTTACAGATAGCACATGGTACAAATGACCCCAAATATCCACAGATCTTTTACACATGGAGAAGTTCCACTTTGAGCATCTTAGAATAATAAATGCCAAAGTCCTAGATGTGCTTCATGAATACTTTTTGTTTGCCCTCTTGAAAAGAATACTTTCACCTGCGTATCTTAGAATGTACCGTTGGTGCATAAATGAATAATGTTACATAACTTTCATGAGCGTATATCCAGTATTCATCTCTGTGGGTTTAACCTTTTGGGTACAAATGACCTTTATCTGCTCATGCTCAGACTGCAACCGTAAACTGGCTTATTGCATTGGAAAAGCAATTAAACAATTGAATCATATCAAGGTATATTACTTATCTGTCACCTTCACGCCATAGTTATAACGAAGCAAAATTAATATCCTCCATGCCTTTCTTTGTTAATGTCGATTAACGGTTATAAAGTCAGTTTTTATTTGCTCTTCCCTCCAGCCTCTAGTTAAAACTAGTCATGATTGTCGAGATTTAGTGGACGAGGCGAAAATGTTCCACTTGAGACCTGACAGGAGAGCTGAAATGCATGGACCCAGGTTTCAACCGAGGACAGGTGGGGTCATATACCAATCCTTTCCAAAGTATGCATCAAATCAAGTCGAAATTGATATCATATTCGGTGATAGAATGATGTCAAGTTGTCCGAAAATACATGTTTGTACAATATATTTGTGATTTAGAAAGAACTGCTTTTGATATCACTGTCACCCCAAAACGCAAAATAAAATGGCACATATTCAAACAAAAATTGTTAGGCACCGTGAAGAGGAACACAGGAATAGATGACAGGACAAAGAACAAGATGCAAATAATATCAAAACCAAACAAATTATATGTTCTCTTATTTATTTCATACGTAAATTATTTTCTTTCTTAATCCAACCACATGAAAAAGTTTAGGTTTAGTAAGCTATCATTTTTTTCTGATTTGTTCAGGCGGAGATGTACGGCTCATTGTAATAGGGGGATTTGGTGTTGATCGTCAGCCGTTGTCATTGGTCGAGGAATTTAATCCTAAAACATCAGATTGGCGATCTCTTCCTGTAAGTATATTTAATACTCATGCTGTAACTATAATATCATCATATTTCTTCTTCTTCTTCTTCTTCTTCTTCTTCTTCTTCTTCTTCTTCTTCTTCTTCTTCCTCAATCCATGCACCAATTCTCAGACTGCTACAGCACTTTTCTGATGCGGTATGATTTTTTTTTTTTTTTTTTATATATCACCGCTCTTTAAGTAACAACACTAATTAATTTGCAACAACAACGACAAAGGAATAGCACTGAATGACAAATCCATAAATACTTCGAACTTTGGAGTTCGCCTCATTTCATGCTCAATTATGAATTATGATAAACGTAACTTTGCTGCAGGAACTCGAGCACGGCAGGAGGTATCTCGCTACCGTTGCACATCATCAACGCTTGTATGTGATTGGAGGATACAATGGTACGTCACGATTAAGTTCTGTCACGTGCTTAGACTTCGCCAATCAGGACTCATCTGACTTCAGTTGGACTCAATGCGCTCCAATGAGCGATATCAGAGGACTACCTGGTTCCACTGTGTACAATGGTAATAAATATGATATATCTACTAATAACTTTATATTGAAAATAATGATGCAAATAAATGCATAGAAAGTTCAGTAAACTCTAATCCTTCTCGGGTATGTGCCCCCATCACATTCTTAAAAAAGAGCACAACCTATATCCACATCGGTTTCTTTCTAATTATATGCTAACTGTCATAATGCAACAACTGTATTATATTACAAATTATTATAATCCCTGTTTCTGGTGAATGATTTGTCTTGATTTTACAATTCTGTTTGACGATTCTCAATAAACGAAGGTATACTTTTAATCATTTGACCGCCTTAATTTTCTGTCAAATTCCAACCATGCATCTAGAGCTAATCTATGTAGCTGGTGGATTCGACGGCGATTCTCGGCACAACTCCGTAGAGGCCTACGACCCTAAAATCGACAGGTGGTCCCCAGTCACCCCAATGAATGTATGTCGAGAAGGGGCGGGGCTGGTTGCTACCAATGACGTCATCTACAGCATAGGGGGATACGATGGCGTCTCCATTCAGAGTTCGGTGGAGGTGTATGATCCGAACAGCGGGCAATGGATGCCAGCCCCGCCTATGAATATCAAACGATCAGGTTAGGCACCGGCCGTACTATTTCAGGAAGATATATTTTGATTCACAGGGTTTTATAGTTGGGTCCAGCATGGCAGGGGGAGGGGGGGGGGGGAGCTCCGAACTTACTATGTAGATAAAGTATGAGATGTGAGATTTTAAAAAAGGCCACAGAATAAGGGAAGAGTGATGAGTGAATTCGTGTAATTTTTAACGTTGCCTCCACCCTCCCTTCTTTCTCTCTTTTTCTTTTTCTTTTTCACTATAAGTGGAATAGGAGGATGGAGGCATGTGTCCCATGCAGGGGCGGATCCAGGGGGCCCGGGGGTCCAGGCCCCCTCCCTGGCCAAAAAATAGTTTTTAAAATTCGGCTAGCCGGCTGAGTCGCCGCTAAATATTTCCTCACGAATTGGGCCCCATCCCTGCCCCTGGTCCCATATACCTATACGCCAATGGTTTTTAGTATATACAAAATAAAATTTTCATGTATGTAGAATAACATAATTGACAATCTTCTAGTCCTCTCAAAAATCGATTGATCTATGTTTTATCATATAACATCAGTATAACATCATAATGTCAGTATTATTTTTCTTGCAATATTTCTAATTGTCATTTCAACAACTTGTCACTGATTTTGATATCTTTTGACATAATCTTTTTAATTTTCATGACTGTATTCAAGGAGCTGGTGTTACTGTTGCAAATGAGATGATCTATGTCTTCGGTGGTTTTGACGGAACCCAGCACATCGCATCAGTCGAATGCTTTAACCCTCGTGCCAATAAATGGACAGTACTCTCCGATATGAATTCACCTAGATGCTATGCAGGGGGAGCTACTATACATGGGAGAATATATGCGGTGTCGGGGTAAGGTCAATCTGTTGATCAATGATGAATGCATGAACGGGAAGTTAGAAGTGGATTTTAGTAAATGGCGGATCTAGGATTCTGTAATAGGGGAGGGTGCACATATGAAACGCCCCTCCCTCCAAAAGTTTTTCACATTTTTTCACTACCTTTTGGGGGTCTAATTTTGAAGGAGCACAATTATTTTGTTCACTTAGTGTATATGAGTTTGGATTGAACGAAAGGGTGGGTATGGGCCGGTTGTATCATCTTTAAATCCGCCTTGAATATTTGGATCTGCATATATTTTGAGAAGATAGATCTTTCTATTGTTAAATATAACATATGAGAAATAACAGTTTTAGTTCAATTATAGTAAAAGGAATTAAGAGACAAAATTCACATTTATCGATCAAAAGTGAATAATCATTTAAAAATCAAAGGGTTCCCTTATGGTAAGAGTAGACCCAAAGACCTCCCGTTGATATCCATCATGTTCAGTCATAAACAAACTTTTAATATTTTCCCTCTTATAAATTTTTTGCAGCTATGATGGACAATCGCTCATTGATACAGTGGAAGTGTACGATCCTTGGAGAGATAAATGGAAGATACAAGCAACAAAAATGAACGAAAGAAGATGTGATGCAGGAGTGACTTCTCTACTTATCCCCTGATCATAAACGATCAAGACACCGTGTCCATATACCGAAGTCCGACACGATGTTCATTACGGTTTCGTCACGATGTCGTCACGATGTTCGTATTCTAGTGACATGTTGATACCTGGAATATAGCGTGCAAACGAGTATACCACCGATACATTGAGGACTACCTACCAGGCTTGAAAAGTTGAAAGTTAATGCAACTTGAATTGATTGTTGTCATAGCGGACGTTTTGAAGTCTTATCGTAGTGTCATATCGGACTTTTTGAAGTCTATACTATTTGCAATATTGATGTCCGCGGCCATGTTTCAGAAAGTCGAATTGTTTAGGACTTAAGGTCACCTATTTGTGTGATTGTCTTCATCTGATTTTCAGCTGATTTTTAAACTGAGTTTTATATGCGGAAGGATCCTAAAACCTACCTTCGGAACTACTGGAATATTTCACATATCATGAGATATGATACAGAAAGGTGGAGAAGGTCAATGCTGCTAACCTGGTATATGGTTATAGATTCCAAAGGAACGGAAACTTAGAAGATAAAAATGGTTAACAAAAATGAATATATTATTGTAGCAATCATATAATGTATAAGTAATGACAAACATTCGTTAAAAGAAAATGATCATCGGTGAATTTTGTTTCAAATGCAAAAACAATTCCACGATAACCGTAATAGAAATATGAGCAAGTATATATATATATATATCCATCTCCTGCCACTAAGTTATTTTGTAATTTCAAAGTAACGAATCGTCCAATGTCATTCCCTCTCCTTTTATTTCTATGTCCCCTACTTCTTGCCCCCTTGCTCTTGTCTCTTATTCTCCTACCCCTGCGTGCTGCATCTCGGCGATTTTCTACCTATCCCATTGTCCCTAATATCCCTCCTCTTTCTCTTTCTCTCTACCTCCCTCCACCCTCTCTTCACCTGTCGCGCTCTCTCTCTCTCTCTCTCTCTCTCTCTCTCTCTCTCTCTCTCTCTTCCCCAATGCCCCGTGAATAGGAGGAAGATTATCAGAATGAGACCCGAGATCAAATTAAATATGAACATGAATTGTAGCATAAAACACATAGAGATTTTTAGTGTACATGGTATATTAACAAACACAATTTTAATTTGTGCTCAAATGCTGTATCAAACATCTTCTGGTTTGACCTTGCATACTATATCAGAACGATATATCTATAGAATACCTCATCGTATGCTCTGTTGTTATTACCATGGTCCACCCTTGGAAATAAAATCAAATATATATTGAAAAGTGATGTTAATTGAACATCTAAATGTAAATATAAAAATGTCACCATTTTTAAACGAATGCATCCAATCTGTCACAATAAAGTATGTCTTGGACTGTAAAATATATACAAAGAAGGAAGGGGTAGTAAATGAAAACTTAGGGCTGATGGGGAATTGTACGATTGACATTTATATATCAATAGGAAAGGAAATCTACAGAAAGAGAGACAGAGAGAGAGAGAGAGAGAGAGAGGGAGAGGGGAGAGAGATGGAGAGGGAGAGGGAGAGAAAGAGGGGGAGAGGGGAAAAGGGAGAAAGAGGGAGAGTGGGTGGGGAGAGGGGAGAGGGAGAGGGAGAGGTGAGAGGGGGGGGGGGAGAGAGAGAGAGAGAGAGATGGGGTGTGGTCAGTCACTTTTGTAAATGTACACCATCAAATTAACCCAATCTTATACTTAGCTGTATATTTGATGAAATATTGCCATGAGCAAATGTCATATCATCCAAACAACACAAAGACAGCCGAACAATTTGCATTACAACATGCACATTATTGTATTTTATTAAAAAAATTACATATCACATGTTATGGGAAAGACATTTACCATGTAGTTCTTCTTCATGATCATTGACGGGGAGTTTATAGACTTACTGTAAAGTCTTTGAATAAAGGTATAACCTCTTTTTTTAATGATCTAAAATACATTTGTACATTTTTTTTGCATGCACATTCTGTTTAAATAATTTCTTTTTTTCAACCCAGACAAATGAAACTTATGACAGATATGCTCTACGAAACAAATTCATTTACAACAAAACATTTCGGTGAATGCACTAAATTAAAATCAAATGGTTACTGAAAATTGCAAAAATTTTTTATGGATTTCACAACATACTTTTATACAGACATTCTATAATCTAAAAACATACATCACCAATATATCCATGTTCCATCGCAATCAAAATAGTAATTTAAAAGTTGCCATATTGATATTTATAAGGCGACAAGGAACGAAACAATCAATAGGTCACCAAGCAAACAAAACAAAAACAGATTGAAACACTTTTCTGGAAAAAAATATTTGCAGATAATATTGGCATTTTCAGAGCAGGTTAGCAAATGTTTGACAAAAAAAATTACATACACAAAAAATAAAATACTCTTTAATCACATGTCCCCCCAAAAAAATTGTTTGCATGATAATTGCACCATTTTTCCTCATAATTTCAATACAGTTGTATGCAAAAGTAAGGAAGAAAGGCAAGAAATTTCTCAGTAGTTTCTTCTTCCTTGCTAACATACTTATACCAAAAATATTTTCAACATTTCTAAACTTTTCTTGATAACATCTGTTTCAAAATATACTTACTTACAAATGAACAATAACTTTTGAGCTTGTTGTCATAAACTGCTAAATAGAAGCAGTTCAAAAAATGTCAACATGAAACTGTACATGAAGCAAAACACATCGGGCCTCGAAGATTGGCATCTATGAAACAGGCAATTTACATTCATGGCAATTTATTTATACATTGCTCTCATATATATAGATGCAGCAATTTTATCCAAGACAATTGCAAATGCAGGTTATTTACTGTGTTCAACATGTAATCTAAACATACACATTAGGCCATCTGTGTCCATCAACATGTAATATGATTGTCTTCAGGATTTAATATTTACAGCAATAAATAAACAACAATGTTTTTGTGTTTAACTACATTATTGGCACATACAAAGGACAAATTGAAGATAGCACTAGATTTCAAGTCTACCCACATAGATTGCATTATTACAGAAATGTAATACTAAGAGCTCTAAAAAAGTTACATTATTTAACTACAAAGCTCAAAATAATTTGAACAGCCACTCTTATGAGAAGCACACTCACAGCATCATATTTTACAGTGATAGGCAATCTAGATTTGTGAAACTTCTTTTTCTAATCAATGATGATAGATATTTGGATAATTGCACTGTCATTAAAACTCTCTTTGGCCTATATTTAACTAAAAATTTAAACCAACACTTGGTTTAAGGTTTTGTTAAAATATGGATTGAACAAAGGAAGTTGGTCTGAGGTTTTCCTTTTATTAAACAAAATCAGAATCACATCTAACTGCAGAATTGGTAGACTAAAGACCTGATTATGGGACTAATGTGACTCTGCATTTAAAAGACAATTAACCATTTGCCAATATATTTATTCAATAAATATTCAATATAATTATATAAGGCACCAAGAGCTATCTTTTTTGACCAAATTCATTTGAAAGTAGTGCAAATAAATAGTTACAGGTTCACTTAGGTTATGTGAATGGGATATAAGTTATTCTTCACTTGTTCGTACTCACTATCTGTTAGTCCATAGTATACTGAGTAAACCGTTTTTGAGGTTGCTAGGCCTAGTCGTATACAAATATCTTTTTAGGTGACTTGTAAACACATTAAAACTCTAAAATAATGAATAATCTTAAAAGCAGCATTAACCCAATGCCTACTGGAACTGGGTGGTTCCTGTATTAAAGGCTATGGGAATGAGAGAATTCAGTAGTTAAGGGGTTAATTTTGTCCACAAGAGTAAAATCCTTTTAAATGATGGGGAATAGATGGCTTAAGCACACATATTCCTTTTACATTTAAATTATTTAAAAATCATAAAAATGTATCTCTGGAGTCAAGATGAAATTTAAAAAAAAAAGACAGATATCCATCTATACTCTTCAATACATATGGATGGCCCAATATGCACATGGTCACATGAGCAAAGTCTTTGCAACAAAAAAAAAACTTATCAAATCAGTAAATGCGATTTTAACAATGCTGGCCTTGATTGGAATAAATAAAGCAGTTGTTTGTAATGCAATTTCTTCTGTATGAAATAAAGCAGCTGCTTTTCATGTAATATCTTCTGGAAGGCCTCATTGTGAGTAAATCTTACAAAACCTTACTGTGTGTATATCTTAAAGACCTCAGTGTGTGTATATCTTACAAGACCTTACTGTGTGTGTATCTTATAAGACCTTACTGTGCGTATATCTTACAAGACCTTACTGTGTGTATATCTTATAAGACCTTACTGTGTGTATATCTTATAAAACCTCACTGTGTGTATATCTTATAAGACCTCACTGTGTATATCTTATCAGACCTCACTGTGTGTATATATATATATAAGACCTCACTGTGTGTATAACAAGACCTCACTGTGTGTATATCTTATAAGTAGAAGACATCCGCATTGCAAGGACCTGTTGACCTCCCAGTCCACCATCAGGATCACCTCCAAGTTTGACAACTTTCCTCTCCTCCACCTCAAGAGTTCTCCTTCCACCTGGTAAAACAGCATCAATGGCCCACTGAAAGTCCCAATGGATGATCCATCGCTCCATGTCGAGCATCTCTACCAGGACATCAAACACAACAGGACCGGTCCTCAGCCTCCCTGGCACTCCCCCTGGGTAACCCACACTCTCCTTGATGCCACCAGTGATAGGTGTGAGGGCAGTGTTCAGGAGGACATCAGCGAGGGTCTTACCCTGGACACCAGCGATGAGTTGGATTCCTCGTAGCTTCACGTGGAGGGTCTTCTCTGCTTCCTCCAGACTGGATATCTCATCAATGATGACAATCTCAGGTCTGTGGTTCTGGTACGCTTCACTCATGACCTTGTGCTGGAGATTGCTTTCTATAACCTGCATCAGAAAAGAAAACAAAATATCAAATAAAAGACAGAATTAGCCTTGTCTCTTCCGTGTATGTATCAGTAACTTATTATCCTATTGGTTCTGCACCTTTTGGCCCTACCTGGCATTCCTTGTTGGTGATGTTACCCTCCTAAATGCAGCACTTGGTGAGCCTTGATAATCCCTGTAATGCCATTGTATAAAGAAAGAGGGTTTGTTGCATCTGAGAAACATCCATTATTGATTGATTGTCGCTTTATTCAAAAGAATCATGATTCAAAGCAATAATGCCGCATTGCTCAGGATCTACATATAAAAAATGAATTCAAAGATATTACAAGAGCAAATAGCAAAAGCTGAGGATCACTGGTGAAGATTCTATAACTATTCTAAATGATTCCAAGGTCAAAGTGTAAAAGACTCAGAAGATTTTTAATTCTCAGATGAAGATTCGTCTCTCCTCATATAATCAAGATTAATTGTTAATTTGTTCGTTAATGTTATCAAGTGTATGTAGTTCCGGTCACAGAGAGATATCAAACGGGCGAATTGACTTTAGCTTAAAGGGGCATGTTCCCGCCAGTGTAGTTATTGCTACTCTAGTCATCGCCATCTTGGTTCCAAAGATCGACTTCAAATTTGCATACAGCTGTCAATCAAAGTACGCACGGCCTGGCCTGCCTTCGCCAAGCCAGCTGATCGCTGCCGATAGTGACGAAAGTGGGTGGAAACAGCAGCCGAATCTTAGAGCTGAACTGCGATTGGTATGACTTCGGCACATGTATGCCATAATCGGCATTGTGCGGGCATTCGGAACATGCCATCTGCGTAAGGGCCGTATTCTGTTGGTGTCAATAGGTAGCTAGCACCGTCCGCCAGCGGGTACGTATTTTGAACGCCCTCTGGAATACGGGGAACATGCCCCTTTAACTATTGTGCATGATTCTTACCTGTAATCTTCGAGCAGATCCTATAGATTGATGTGGAATGTCTCCCTCTCCAGCTATCTGTGCATTAAAAAAAGGAGAAGTTGAAGTTATTTGATATAAAACTGAACTATGAATACATTTATCATAGATACAATGGTGACTTTTCTGGAAACATATTGTTATCATGTGTGTATAGAATCAAGTGACTGAAAGTAAATTTCTGTTGAACTTTCATGACCAACTTACTTGCTACAGGCTATGGAAGTATACAATACCTGCAACACCCAAATAACAATTCAATAATTTAGATAATACAAAGTTTGCATTAGGAGCATCTTATTCATCAAGCAATCTTTGTCCACTGCAAGTAACCTAGAACTTACCTCTGATAATGTGTCAATGATCATGACATTCTTCTTCTCCACATCACTCAATACTCTTGCAGCTTCCCTCAACAGAGTTGTCTTGCCCACCCCTGTAGGTCCAACAACCAGAATGGACTTGCCCTTGTTGAATATATCATACAATGGGCTGAGGCATCCTGGAAGGGGGTGTTCAACCTTGGCCGTTATGCCGATGACCTCTCCTTGTATGTTTGCCAGCAGGCTGTACCACAAAAACAAACGATCAACAATATCATATCATTTTCAAATAGAAACATGTCTGCTCCTGTTAATGTGCTCAGTCTTACATTTTGAAACATGATATTCGATTCAGTTTGTGTGCTGGAACAAACAGGAACTTTGAATGACACTACATTATACTGACATTAGCGATTTGCCAAGTTGAAATTGTCCATACATATAGCAATAAAAAATATTTACAAATTCATCATTCGCTTTAATATCTTCATGCACTTATGTTCAAACCTGAACCAATCTGTTTTTCTAGTTTTCTGATTTCCTTCAAGAAGAGTCCACTTTGCCCATTTCATACTCGCCTAACATGGTGGCAGCGGTGGGATATGCAGTCCACTTTGCCCATTTCACACTTGCCTAACATGATGGCAGCGGTGGGATATGCAGTCCAATTTGCCCATTTCATACTCGCCTAACATGATGGCAGCGGTGGGATATGCAGTGCACTTTGCCCATTTCATACTTGCCTAACATGATGGCAGCGTTTGGGATATGCAGTGCACTTTGCCCATTTCACACTTGCCTAACATGATGGCAGCGTTTGGGATATGCAGTGCACTTTGCCCATTTCATACTTGCCTAACATGATGGCAGCGTTTGGGATATGCAGTGCACTTTGCCCATTTCATACTCGCCTAACATGATGGCAGCGTTTGGGATATGCAGTCCAATTTGCCCATTTCATACTCGCCTAACATGATGGCAGCGGTGGGATATGCAGTGCACTTTACCCATTTCATACTTGCCTAACATGATGGCAGCGGTCGATATGTAGGCTTTCTTGGCCCTCTTCATGAAGCCCTAGATAACGTCAAAGGTTTGTTCACATATGATGCGGTAAGCCACAGCGGCTCACCATTTTTTTGTAAGAATACTCACATGTACTGCACATCACATTTTTATATTTATAACACATAGATAAGGGAGGACCTTTGTTGTATACAGCTACTTTTTTTTCTTTCCCACCTACAATTCATTAAATACAAAAAGCCACTACATTGTACTGTAGTACATGTGGAAAAGCTTCAATTCTCCCATACAAAGTGGATCTAAAAGTATTACAAAATACAAATGAAGAACACATTATTCCAGGTGATTTACCCAAGTCTGTGAAGTGTATCCCTGACCATGCCTTGACTGTTGCTTGTCCTGGCAAAGCCGCTGTCTTCCAAGATACCCTTCAAGTCCTGCTTGGTCACCTCATCACGATTCAGCACTTTTTCCATCATTTCAGAACTCAACCCAGACTTCAGATACCTACAAGCAACAAAAGGTATCTTATAACAGCCACACTTCAACCATTCGATCTATAGAACTAGGAGAAACATAGCATGTACTCATTTCATTTTCAATTTTCCTAAGAGCCTGCTAGATTCAAACTTCAGCCTATGTGTCCATTCAGTGCTTGGCTTCTATAACTGTTATCAATAATCTCCTCAATAATTCCTGAAATAACTAGGATGGTAAATGCAAATATAATCAGATGTTGAGCCTCCCCTTAATGAATAATCACACTGGGATATAATGCTGTGAAAATTTAGATGAGTTGAAGTTACTTCAGTTTACATCCAAAAACAGTATGGCTGTTATTCACGTACACGTAATTTCAAATAAACATCCCTTCTGAGGATTGAAGTGCTTTATCATAGTACTTACGAGTAGGTATCAGAAAAGAAAAAAGTCAGGATTACACATAATGATGCATTCAGCTTTACAAATGTCATTTGCTCAAGCTGGAATCAAAGCCAAGCTTAGATAATAATGTTTGAAAAGCAGATGTACCAATAAGCTCTACTGCCCCCTATCAAATTATTTGTGAGAATTGTGAATTATTTCTGAAATTACAGTTACAACTCACCGTGCTCTGGGTTTCCTGCCAACATCCAAGACAACTTCTGCTAACTGAATAAAGGAATAGCTGGAGCTTTCTTGTGATAGCTGCTGTAGAGCCAGTTGAATGCTTGCAGGAAAAGCCTCAACAAACTTAATCACATCTGATAGAAGCAGATCATCAAATTCTTCATCTTGCTCATCCGTAATGAGGCATGGATTGATTGGAATGGAAGCTTGCTAGGAGGATTAAATACAAAACAAAAACATAAGATCCAAAGGTGAAGACCAAGAAAAACAAGATTATAATGACTGCAATGTTTTGTCAATATTGCAGCCTATGTTGAAATATTCTACAAAAAAAAACAGTTCTTGTGAATGATTTTATCAAAACAATCATTCTCGGTTACTTTGAGATAAGTTTCATATTTCTAATCTGTGTGTGATGGAACTTTCTGTGTTGACTGTGATTAAAACAACTATGCCAAATTATATGATAAGTTTTATGAAAATGTTATCACAAACTAACTCTTTGATATCAAAAGTTTTACCTGTATCTAAAGCTACCATACCTGTTGTGGATCTTACCTCACTGAGTGGATGAATGAAGACTGGGTTGTTGCCCTCCTTGAACTGCAATACCATTGGCTTCATCCACTGTGGGGATGTAGACAGCTTGGTTTCAGGAGAAGTCTTGACCCATTGCTGTTGCTCCCACTGTACGAAAGTCACTTGTTGAGGAGGGAGAGTTTGAGCTTGCAGCATCAAGCCCATAGGGATTTGAGGGATTATTCCTGGAGCTAGGTTAGGCACATTGGTGATTTGCTGTTGTTGTTGGTGTATTTGATAGTATTGCTGCTGCACATTGGTGTTTTGCTGTTGTTGGTGTGTCTGATGGTGTTGCTGCTGCACATGGGTGTTTTGCTGTTGTTGTTGGTAGATTTGATATTGCTGCTGCACATTGGTGTTTTGCTGCTGTTGTTGGTGTGTTTGATGGTATTGCTGCCGCACATTGGTGTTTTGCTGTTGTTTTAGGTGTGTTTGATGGTGTTGCTGTTGCCATTGGGGGTTTTGCTGCTGTTGTTGATGTGTTTGGTGGTATTGCTGCTGCACATTGGTGATTTGCTGCTGATGTTGATCTGTTTGATGGTATTTCTGAGACACATGGGTGTTTTGCTGCTTTTGTTGGTGTGTTTGATTGTATTGCTGCCACACATTGGTGTTTTGCTGTTGCTGTTGATGTGTCTGATGGTATACTTGCTGCACATTGGTGTTTTGCTGTTGATGTGTTTGATGGTGCTGCTGCTGCACATTGGTGTTTTGCTGTTGCTGTTGATGTGTTTGATGGTGCTGCTGCTGCACATTGGTGTTTTGCTGTTGTTTTTGGGGTGTTTGATGGTGTTGCTGCTGATCATCGGTGTTTTGCTGCTGTTGTTGGTGTGTTTGATGGTGTTGCTGCTGCACATGGGTGTTTTGCTGTTGTTGTTGGTGTGTTTGATGGTGTTGCTGTTGCACATGGGTGTTTTGCTGTTGTTGCTGAGGTGTATGTGCCAAGCTAGTCATAAAATCAGCACCCCAATCTTCTGCATCTTGAAAAACTTGCTCTAACATATCTTCTGCATCTTGAAAAAGTTGGATTAACATATCTTCCTTTTCAGCATTTGGCTCCTGGTTGAGTTTACCTTTAGGTTTAGTGATTTTGTTACTCAAAACTTGATCATTTTTTGGGAAATCTTTCTGTTCTGTGAAACTAATGATTGAGGTACTGGCATCTGATTCCCTTTTCTCGAACAGGGTTGGTCTTTGCCGATGATGATTCATTTCAGACTTTATATGTTCTTTTTCAGTTTTGAGAGCTGGCTTGTCAGAAAGCTTTTGAGAAGGCTCCTTCGTCTTCTTTGACTCGGCATTCACAGCATCATTTACTTCAGAGTTCTTCTGCTGTTTTTGCTGACGTTTATCCTGTTTGAATGGTTGTTCTTTAGCTTTGACTGGAACGGAGGAGGGTGTAACAATGTGTTTCTTTGACTCCACATCATTCTGCGATTTCTGACTTTGTTCTTTTTTGACATCCTCTCTTGGAGTGTGAGAATTTTTAGATGAGCTTGCTTGGTCTTTTGTATCTGCTAGACCAAATGCTCCTTTTTCACTGCTTATCTCTGCCTTTTTGTCATTTTGCACTTTTGGTTGAGGCATCTGATTTTGTCCTTTTTTATTGGTCGCTCCGGGACTGGGACAACTTTTAGATGAACTGTTCTGTTCTTGAGTTTTGGCTACACAAGTTGGCTTGTCAGAAAACTTTTGAGAAGACTCTGTTTTCTTCTTTGACTCGGCTTTCACAGCATTGATTACTTCAGAGTTCTCCTGCTGTTTTTGCTGACGCTTATCCTGTCTGGATGGTTGTTCTTTAGCTTTGGCTGGACCAGAGGCTGATGTTACACTACTTTTCTCTGCCTTTTTGTCATTTTGCACTTTTGGTTGAGGCATCTGATTTTGTCCTTTTTTATTGGTCGCTCCGGGACTGGGACAACTTTTAGATGAACTGTTCTGTTCTTGAGTTTTGGCTACACAAGTTGGCTTGTCAGAAAACTTTTGAGAAGACTCTGTTTTCTTCTTTGACTCGGCTTTCACAGCATTGATTACTTCAGAGTTCTCCTGCTGTTTTTGCTGATGCTTATCCTGTCTGGATGGTTGATCTTTAGCTTTGGCTGGACCAGAGGCTGATGTTACACTACTTTTCTCTGCCTTTTTGTCATTTTGCACTTTTGGTTGAGGCATCTGACTTTGTCCTTTTTTATTGGTTGCACCAGGACTGGGACAACTTTTAGATGAACTGTTCTGTTTTGAAGTCTTGGCTGAAGTTTTGTCTGAAGTTACACTGCTTTTCTTTGGCTTCACACCACTCTGCGTTTTCTGCTGAGGCAATGTGTTTTGTTCTTTTTTGACAGTATCTTTTGGACAGGGATTTTTGGAAGAATTGGATTGTTCCTTCGTCTTGGTCTTGGGTGCACTATTGTTCTTTCTCTTTGCATCATTCTGCACACCCTGTTGAGACATCTTACCTTTTTCTTTTTCTTTAGAACTGAGGAGACTATTAGATTGTTTGGGTTGCTCTTTGGTCTTTGCTGGACCAGATGCTCCAATTCCTCTGCTTTCCTTTGGTTTTACATCATTCTGAACTTTTACCTTCAGCTGATTCTTTTCTTTCCCAACAGGAACCCCAAGACTGAGGGGACTTTTAGATGGACCAGTTTGTTCTCGAGGATTGGCTGGACCACAGGCTGAAGTTACACTACTTTTCTTTGACTTCACATCATTCTGCATTTTCTCAGGAAGCATCTGATTTTGTTCTTTTTCAACATTTCCTCCTGATTTGTTAGATTTCAGTTGGGGTGGAGATTCTTTTTCTACTGTATTGTTTTTCTTTTTCTTTTTCTTTTTCTTTTTCTTTTTTGCTGATAAAGTTCGGATACATTCTTGAAGCTGTTCTGGATGTTGTTGCTGCTTCTGGTGAGCACTTGTTGCTGCTACTGCACCAACAGAGCTTGCACTTTGATTTGTCTTTGGCCTTACACTCTTATCCAAACTGTTTTCTTGCTGCTTCTTCTTTTCATTACTGGCCGCTACTGAAGGCCGAGTTAATTTCTCTCCTTGGGCACTGGCAACTTGAGGATAGTTTACTTGCTCTTTTGACTGTGAATGTGAACCACAGTTTCCATGATGTTCATGTTTTTGCACTTGATGTTTTTGCTTCTTTGGAGGTAAATCTTCTGAATGCATACGAATGCTTTCATCTGATGTTTCTTCAATGTCAGAAGTTTCATCTCGAGTCAAACGGGGTGGAGCTTGTTTCGTGATTGCATTTTCTGTCAGACATCCTGCCTTGCCTTGCAAAACATTCGCATAGGTGCTTTCAACCATTTTCTTTGCATTACAATCAAAGTGTGGTTGTTGCGTTGTCTCTTTTCTGATATTGCTGGTTACAAGATGCAAAGCACCATGGCTATCTTTTTGGCTGGTAATGTATGGTTTCACACTTTCAATCTCTTCACCTTGCTGATGTTGCTCTTGTGTTTCACCCTGAAACTTTTGTTGCAGCTCATTTTGAGTGACCCTTTGTTTGTGCACTTCAGTTCTGTCATACTTTGCCTCCTCAGTGTAAGACTCAATAGCTTGTACTAAACAAGGAGCTTGTTGTGTGCTTTCATTTCCTGTTGCAGCCATGCCCTCCAGAGCAGCTGCATATGAAGATGGGTGACTGGATACGTTCTCAGGATCAGAGACCATGTCTCCTCTTCTCGGGTTAAACCAACAGTCCAACTGCTGTGGACTCTGCACCGAAGCATTGGAGCGTTGGTTAAGCTCAGCCAGCATTGGAGCTGACATTATACTGGCAAAATTAACCACAAAAGAGACATCAAGTCACTATCATGAGACATTGTTAATTTGTTTCAATACAATTAAGAAAATCTGAATCGAGATAAATGATGACATTTTTTTCATTATTTTTATTCAGATCTCAAAGATAGCCAAGATAATAACTAAATAGGGGCTAGAAGCAAACACAACCTCACAAAACTTACATTAATCTCTTAAATACAATATAATATTGCTATAACGTATGATTCCCATTGACCCTAGCTTGAGATATCTAAGGCTTGGTATGTTATTATTTAAAATGAAATAAGAAAAGAAACAAAAGTTATCTAATTTCCAGTGTGTACGTAGCTAATGTTTCTTAGAAGTGAACAAAGCATATCAATAAAGCTAAATAAGATTTATAAAATGATTAAGGTAGCACACTCAATATAGTGCAAGTATAAGGTTATATTGTTTGTGTAACTACACAAATTACTGCTGCTTTTGTTTGTATAACATACAATACAAGTCCATCACTGTACATACCTTAACATCGCTTGATAAAGGAAAGGAATCATCTTAGAGGAAACTTGGGCCATTTCTCTAAGATTGTTGATAGCTTGTCTTTGTGATTTTCCACAATAATCGAGTGGGTCGTCCACTACAGGTGTTCTCTGGGAGCCAACTAAGATGTCTACACAGCTATTTGGTACCATTCCATAGATCTGCAACAGTTCTGCCAGAGGCATGAGGAAGCTGTGGTCACGTATGATACGATCTGCTTCCTGCAATCAAGTGGTCAAAATCATTAATTGTTTACGTGCTGTCACCTATGCCTGCATGGGAAGGGAAAAAGAAATCTTAATCACTAAGACCCTCTGGCCTCTGCTACTGGATGATCTGAATGGAATGAGCAGACTGACCACTACATCAAGCTTCTCATTACTCTTCCATGAATAATAGTGCAGTGGATTCTTAACCCACTACCTACGGCAACCAAGTGGTCCATCGATTATGCCTAGACAATTCAGTAGTCAAAGGGGTTAACATGCAAATCTGGTAGCTTTTCTGCACATGGAGCCTTCATTTAACATCCTATTCAAACGAGGGACGGCATCTGCATGTTATCCCCAGCAATCAACCGCATACCTGTTAAACAGGGGAGGGGTATGTTAACACACAGCGAAGGCTCCCGTCATTCACCTGGGCTTGATCAAAGCCCACACTACTTGGTTCAACAGGCAGATGCTGTATCACATGAGGGAATCGCACTTCCTCAATTTTTACTTACCAAGACATCAAAAACTCTGACAATCTTCAAGCCTGCATTCTCTCCTAGATCATGAGACACGTGAAGGACATCGTACACAACCTGCAATGACAGAAGAATAAAAAATTAATAATAATAATAATAATAATAATAATAATAGCCTAATAGTCCACTCCAAATTTTATTAAACCACAACGGAAATTCTTTTTGCCCAATTGATCGTGAACCCGGCAGCCACTGAGCAGCGCCAGATCGACGTTGCTCTATCCCTTATTGTTGAATGGTGAAGGAAACTTCATTCAAGCAAGCATATATATTCAAAACCATATGATATAATCATCAGTATCTATTTGCACTGAAAAAAATAGTATAGTATTATTGACTGCTTTGAGAGAAATAGTTGTTTTTATACGCTTAAGGGAAGGTTAGAATTGTGCTATTGCCCGAGGCGTGCCGAGGGCAATAGCACAATTGTTAACCTTCCCGAGAGTGTATAAAAACAAGTATTTTTCGAATATTAAAGCAGTCATTAATACTTTTATAAGCCGAAAACAAAAGAGTCAACTAATGACACCATCTTGGCCTTTCTCTAGTTTATCTGCACGGTTGTTTTTTATGAGTGTATCTTTGAGAGTAGACTAGATCTAGATTCTAGTCTAAGCAAGATATTTTTACAATTTTTACTGTGGGAAATATGGAGAAGAACCTGCACTTTCATATGACACCTCACTTATTAAGTATCACCTTCAGGATCACAACACATAAAGGTTTGAATCTCGAATTGAAAAAAAAAACTTTTTTGCATGGTCGCGCAATGCACGTAGACTGCATAGAGACTGCATTGCATGCAATCTCTATGGGAAGAATTTAGCACACAACATCGATGCACGATCAGACACCCTGACCTATTTTCGTCTACGTCTATGCTGGTACTCCATTTTCAGCAACTTAACGAACATGTTTATGGATAATTTCACGTACCCTTTTTGTTGTTCTTGCTGTCAGCGAGTCTTGCATTTCATAAGTTGAAATCTTGGGAGAGTTTCTTTAGCCATTTTTGTCTTGTTTGGAATTGTCTTGTCTTGTATGAAAATACCAACCAATTCTTCGCACACGTACGGTATCCTCGATCGCTCAAACCATTTTTTAACATGTAAACCTATGGATAACCATGGTTACTGGGATTTTAGAACTATTTTTTAGAACTATTACATGGGTTTGGAATTTTACCGGGAATTTTACAGGAATAGTTAAAGTTTATTAATGCAATTTCATCCAATCAGATGGCTGGATTTCTTAAGTGAGGTATATAATGTGTAATATCTCTTTTTTTTAAATCACAGGAATGAAACTATATAAAAAAAGAAAATACAGGTGTGTGTTTAAAATATTTTTTGTTTGTTTACACATGCAAGTCAATCTGATCTGATCATTAATATGTTTGGGAATATTATTATAGTATTAATGACTGCTTTGAGAGAAAGAGTTGTTTTTTATACGCTCAAGGGAAGGTTACAATTGTGCTATGGCCCGAGGCGTGCCGAGGGCAATAGCCCAATTGTAACCTTCCCGAGAGCGTATAAAAACAACTATTTCTCGAATATTAAAGCAGTCATTAATACTTTTATATGCCGACAAAATTATGACACCACCTTGGCCTTTCTCTAGTATATCTGCACGGTTGTTTTTTATGAGAAAGAGTTGTTTTTTATACGCTCAAGGGAAGGTTAGAATTGTGCTATTGCCCGAGGCGTGCCGAGGGCAATAGCACAATTGTTAACCTTCCCGAGAGTGTATAAAAACAAGTATTTTTCGAATATTAAAGCAGTCATTAATACTTTTATAAGCCGAAAACAAAAGAGTCAACTAATGACACCATCTTGGCCTTTCTCTAGTTTATCTGCACGGTTGTTTTTTATGAGTGTATCTTTGAGAGTAGACTAGATCTAGATTCTAGTCTAAGCAAGATATTTTTACAATTTTTACTGTGGGAAATATGGAGAAGAACCTGCACTTTCATATGACACCTCACTTATTAAGTATCACCTTCAGGATCACAACACATAAAGGTTTGAATCTCGAATTGAAAAAAAAAACTTTTTTGCATGGTCGCGCAATGCACGTAGACTGCATAGAGACTGCATTGCATGCAATCTCTATGGGAAGAATTTAGCACACAACATCGATGCACGATCAGACACCCTGACCTATTTTCGTCTACGTCTATGCTGGTACTCCATTTTCAGCAACTTAACGAACATGTTTATGGATAATTTCACGTACCCTTTTTGTTGTTCTTGCTGTCAGCGAGTCTTGCATTTCATAAGTTGAAATCTTGGGAGAGTTTCTTTAGCCATTTTTGTCTTGTTTGGAATTGTCTTGTCTTGTATGAAAATACCAACCAATTCTTCGCACACGTACGGTATCCTCGATCGCTCAAACCATTTTTTAACATGTAAACCTATGGATAACCATGGTTACTGGGATTTTAGAACTATTTTTTAGAACTATTACATGGGTTTGGAATTTTACCGGGAATTTTACAGGAATAGTTAAAGTTTATTAATGCAATTTCATCCAATCAGATGGCTGGATTTCTTAAGTGAGGTATATAATGTGTAATATCTCTTTTTTTTAAATCACAGGAATGAAACTATATAAAAAAAGAAAATACAGGTGTGTGTTTAAAATATTTTTTGTTTGTTTACACATGCAAGTCAATCTGATCTGATCATTAATATGTTTGGGAATATTATTATAGTATTAATGACTGCTTTGAGAGAAAGAGTTGTTTTTTATACGCTCAAGGGAAGGTTACAATTGTGCTATGGCCCGAGGCGTGCCGAGGGCAATAGCCCAATTGTAACCTTCCCGAGAGCGTATAAAAACAACTATTTCTCGAATATTAAAGCAGTCATTAATACTTTTATATGCCGACAAAATTATGACACCACCTTGGCCTTTCTCTAGTATATCTGCACGGTTGTTTTTTTTAGTGTTTCTTTGAGAGTAGACTAGATCTAGATTCTAGTCTAAGCAAGATATTTTTACAATTTTGGGGGTGGGCCGGCCCTGTGGGGAATATGGAGAAAATCCTGCGCTTTCATATGACACCTCACTTATTGAGTATCATCTTCAGGATCACAAGCAATATTAGTTTGAATCTCTGGTAATTAAAACATCGACCAATCTAGCATGATCGAGTGCGCAATGGCCAATGGAAATGCATAGGGATGTGTGTAATCTCTACGGGAAGGATCTGCATCTGTCCGTGATGTACAAATCACTACAATCACCAGCATCTGGTTGTCGCGTACTAGAAT